GCTTGCTTGGTTTGCCAAGGTTTGTTTTGTTTGCAGAACTGAGAATCAAAACCAGGGCTTGTGCATCCTAAGCTTGCACTCTTCCACACCCCTAACAAGCTAATGTTTTGTTCTGGGATTTGTTTGTTTTTGAGGTAGAGTCTCAGGTAGTCCAGGCTAGCCCTGAACTCCTGGTCAATCTCCCCATGTTACAGTTATACACCATCATACCTTGCTCCCAGCAAACTTCTTGATGTATTGTTTTTAAATGTTAGCATCAGCCAAATATTTATTAAATGCTTGCTGCTTTAAAAGAAAGAAAAAAATGGCTGGGTGTTGGTGGTGCACGCCTTTAATCCCAGCACTTTGGAGGCAGAGGCAGGCAGATCTCTGTGAGTTTGAGGCCAGCCTAGTCTACAGAGCTAGTTCCTGGACAGCCTCCAAAACAATACAGAGAAACCCTGTCTCAAAAAAAAAAAAAAGATAAGAAAGGAAAAGAAAGAACTAAAAAAGCTTACTATTTTCTTGTGACATAACAGAAATAAAGAGATACAGCACAGATACCTCTAATTTGGGGGGACACAGGATTAGGGACCTAGTAGCACTTCTTTGGTATTGAACATCCATTATCCATTTCCTGGTTGGTTTTACTTTTCTTGTTTTTGCTCTGTGTTGTTACTATATTTCAAGGAGAAATGGCTAGAACAAAAATTGGACTGTAAACCATGAGACAGCCTAAAGAAAAATAAGGACCTGTATGTGTGTCGGGACTGTTTAATAAATAAAAACCTGAGTATGGTGGCTGTAAGTCATTTGGGAGGCTTATGTCTAGGAGTTTGAGGCCAACTTTATGCAACACAGTGCATCCCTGCCGCTGAATACATTTTTCAGTTGTGATTGTCACTGCCACTCTGTAAGTGGTATGGAAAGTTATCCCAACACCATCTAAGCTTTCTTTGTTTATAGCAAGGGTCAGCTAATATTTTCTTAAAGGGCTAGACTGTAGATGTTTTAGATTTCTGAGACCCCGTGGTTTCTGTTGCAGTTACTCAGCTGTCTCACCACTACCCAGCTGCTGAATTCTGTTGTTTAGAGAGAGATTAACGCTGTGGGTACGAGAGAGCCCAACTGTGCTCCAATAAAACTCGACAAAAAGAGGTGACTGGCCTGCCAACCCATGCTCTATGCATCTAGCAGAAATCATTCAGTCATGTACTAATTGATCTGCCAAAAAATAATTGCTAAGGATAACTTGTAAAATCATAGAGGCCTTCTAGTTTTTACAGTGTTCCAGCAATTCTGTCCGAACTATTTTCAGGGGAAGTTTTTTGATAGTTTGGTTGTCTTTTAAGATGTTCAGGGGGAGAGGGGGAGGCATAGTAGTGCATGCTTATAATGTCAACACTTGAGAGGTGGGGAGGAAGGCAAGAGGATCAGGAGTTCAGCATCATTCTTGACTACATAGCAAGTTTTCGGCCAGCTTTGTCCCCATAGGACTGTATTTCATAAACATCAACAGAGAGACAGAGACAGAAGAGGGGGTCTGGGAGGGAGAAAGGGGGAGAGACTGACTCTGGGGTAAGAAGAAAGCAAAGGAGGTGGGTCTAGATAAACTGAGTTTGATACAATATTGATAACTGCTGAAATGAGTGATGGGACATGGGACTTTCTTCCCACTTGGCTCCCTGCTTCTGTATGTCTGCAGATGGTTACATTAAAGGTCACTGTAACTGTAATGGGACCTTAAATGCAACAGTTCCTCCCTTCTCTTCCCACACCGTAGAACAAGAGGCAGAGTAAGAAAGAGAGTTTAAAGTTTCATCTTCAACACAACCAGGGAGCAGTCTCACAGCACACTATATAGACGGCCACTGGACCTGGTGAGGGTTGAGCAGGGGTATGGAAAAAACGTCAGAGGTAACACCTGTGACGTAGAGCCCCAGCAAAGCCAGGCAAACTCCATTCTGCAGAGTTGGTGGCTGGCCTCAGACTCCCCAAAAGCAGCATTCAGTACCATGACCTCCAGGAAAGATTAGTTTAGTAATTAATATTTCAGGCTTCAGAAAATTCAGCCCTCAGGAACTCTTCTCCAGGAAGAAGCTTGGTCATCGAAGCAATAAAAGCAGAAACTGTAGCCACAGAATTGGCAGCAAGCATGTAGCCCATTATCTACGGAATTAAGATGAAAACAAATGCAGAATTTATACCCACAGAGGAGAGTCTGCATCTTTAAAGCCTCCACAGTGTGGGGAGGAGAATGAGGAACTAAAACTGTATAAGCGCATGCTTTCCATGCAGCCGCCGATGATAGCCACCTAAGAAAAACCCAGCAAGAGCGTCATGTTATGAGGGTTGAGATGCACAGGTAGGCAGGAAGGTAATTGACGCCTGAAGTAAACAGGAAAAGGGCATAAAAAGCCTCAGTACTCATAACAGAGGGAGGGTTTTTGTTTTTACATAAAGTATATTCTATACAAGCTATAATTATCAAGATTCAGCATTTAACAAGGACTTATAATTTCACAAGCACTATCCATGACTAAACCAATCAAAAGTTCTTACCCCACGGGTCACAGGATACAAGCGACAAACTAAATAAATAATTTCTTTAAAAGAACTGGACCTTGTGGTGATATTTTATTTATGATCTAAGAAATAAAGCTTGCCTGGAGATCAGAGTGCAAAGCTAGCCACACCAGTTTGCCATAGAGGCCAGGCAGGGGTGGTACACAACTTTAATTCCAGCACTCGGGAGACAGAGGCAGATGGATCTCTGTGAGATCAAGGCCACCCTGAGCTACAGGAAATTGATCCAGTCTAAAAGAGAAATAAAGCTCACACAAAGGTGATCCCAGCACTTGGGATCCCACACCTTTCTTTAATCCCAACACTAGAGAGGAATATAAGGCGGGAGGAGACAGGAGCCCATTGCAGTCTGAGGTTTGGTGGAGACAGATGCAGTCTGGAAATGCAGTCTGAGAACAGGATCATCCTTTCTATCTGAGCATTGGTAGAGGTGAGAACTGTCTAGTAGCTGGCCACTTTGCTTTTTTGTTCTTCAGCTTCAACCCCAAAATCTGTCTCTGGGTTTTTATTATTTGTGCTACAGGAACTTCCAAAATCCAGGGGGAAGTTAAGTGTGTTGGATAGGAGCATACCCCTGAAAACAATCAGGAGAGGCGAATGCTGCATCAGTATTTTGCATGGGGGGCCAAAGTAGACCTTACCCAGCTGTGACATTCAAGAAGCTAAGGGAAGAGAGGGAGCCAAACAGTCATGAAAACCAACATCATAATTGGAGTTTGCAATTTTCCTGTCTGTTTCCTGGGTGCTGGGACTATAAGTATGAGCCACCATATTGTACTTTACCAAGTAAACTGTTTTAAAGAAGAAAGCAGTTGGGCAATGCAAACCTTTAATCCCAGCACTTGGGAAATAGAAGCAGGCAGATCTCTATGAGTTCCAGGACAGCCAAGGCCACATAGAAAGACCCTGTCTCAAAAACCAGCAGCAACAAAACAAGATAGTAACAATCAGAACATTAAACATCTCATCAGAACATCTCAAAACTCAAAGATTCCTGAATACAACGACTAGAAATCATATGGATGGTAGTCTCCCCTATGCTAACCCATGAATCACATGGTCTCAAAACAAAATGCTTAACATTTACTGAGCCCTTACTATATGTCAGGTACTGTACATGCTTTGTGTATTTACTTATTCAGTTCTCATGATGATTAATTATACCAGATACTAAAATTTACCATAAAAATAGAGCGCAGAACCAGAATCTTAAGTGATTTGTTGACTTTTTTCTAAATATTAGTGCCATAGTTACTTTTCTATTGCTCTGAAGAGACACTATGACCAAGGCACCTTATAAAAGGAAGCATTGTATTGGGACTTGCCTACAGAACTCTGGGGGTTAGTCCATGATCATATTGGCGGGGAAGCATGGTGGCACACAGGCAGTCAGGCATGGGGCTGGAGCAGTAGCTGAAACTTTGATCTACAAGCAGCAGATACCTGGCTTAGGCTTTTGCAACCTTCAAAGCCCTCCTCCAGTGACTCACCTCCTCCAACAAGAGCACACCTCCTAATCCTATCCAAACAGTTCCACCAACTAGGGATAAGCACTCAAACCTAAGAGCCTATGGGGACCATTCTCATTCACACCATCACAGTTAGTCTTATATTCCCTACTGTCTTTAGGCGGAAGAGGTGAGAATTGATGAGATTCGTGTGTCCTAGGGTACAGTTAAGTAATGGTGTGCATTGTTTCAGAATCCTAAATGCATTTCTTTGTCTTGGCGTGAGTTTTAGTTATTTAGTGCCTTCCTGTCTTCCTCTTGTCATACTTTTGGGGGCTGGGGAAGGAAAAGGTACCAAGGAAAGACTTAGTAGGCAACATGTTCAGGACAATTCCTGAAGGCTAATTTAATTCTGAGAACTCCAATCCTGGACTCACAGCCACGGCACTGCCCTTCAAAGACGCAGCAAAAGTAGTGTGGCTGTGATTTCCTTCTACTGCTCTGGGCTCAAGCACTGAAGTTGCCTGTCCAAGTTTTTAATAAGAAAAGTAAACAGCAAGAGCCAGTGCCTACTCAAATGCTGTAACCGCACGGTACATCTTGTTCTTTGATGACATACAAGAAAGAGGTGCCCACCTAAGGTCTAACAGGGAAGAAGCAAGCAAGAAAGAATAATGCTTAATCGTGATTTTCTTCCAAAAGTCCATAAAAATGAATTGTCAGGCACGATTCTCATTTCATTCCATATGAGACTGTACCTGTCTGCATGTATGAAGATGTGTTCATCTGTGATGTGGAAACACACCAAAGTGCTTGTTGCCCATAGTTTAGGATGCTAGGAATCCTTTTTGTTGTTACCTCGTATTGTATTTTCAGCTTTCCCATGGAGAATGCATAATACTTACACATTCAAAAGCTAGTGGTTTGGGGTGCACACATGCCTCACATTGGTCTGCCCTGACAGTTGACCTGACTTTTGTCTTCTAGGCACACCAGAGGCCAGCTTCCTGGCAGAGCGTGGGGGCTGCTTATTGCAGTACGGTTGTGCCCTCTGATGGTGAGTTTTGGCAAATTCATTTTTTATGTCTTTCTTTTATTTCCTCTTTAACTTAGTGTTTCCAGATTCTTTTTTTTTAGTCAACACATAAACTTATTTTAAATTATTACTTTTATTTATTTTGGGGGGAGGCCACTTGCATGACATGGCACACATTTGGGGGTCAGGACAACTTGAACAGGTCTGTTCCATTCTTCCACCATGTGCGTTCTGAGGATTGCACTGAAATCGTCTGGCTTGGCAGCAGGTACCTTTACCTGCTGGACCATCTCTCCAGCCCGGCTCACTGATGTAGAAACCACACTCCCACTTGTGGTTCTCTTGGAGACCAGGGAAATGGGAGGATTACAGAAGGCATGTGGAACTGGGATTCAGAGGGTTAACCTAGAAAGCCTGGCCTGCCCATCAGATCTTCATAGGTCCTTGGTGTTCGTTCATGTTTAGAAGCAGGGACCACAATTTCTCAAGCATCAGAAGAGCACCACTTGGTGTTTCCTAACTACCGGGTTTTTCACATCCTGGATACTGGTCAAATGCTGCAGCCCCTCCACCGAGTCCCAGGCAGTTCCGGGTCTGTGTGGCCCTCTGTCCTTGTCTCTTTCCTCATGCTTGGGGCTAAGATCTATAAATGGTGGCAGAACCAGGTTATGCCCGTGTTTTCCCCACTTCGGTTTCTGTCATATCAGTTTTGTTTATATATATTAGAATTTCATACATGAGTACTGTATTTACATCATTTCTACCCCTCCTTTTCTGCTCTCCAACTCCTCCCATGTCCCCATAACTTCCTAAAAAATACATTTCCTCACCGGGTGGTGGTGGCGCACGCGTTTAATCCCAGCACTCGGGAGGCAGAGGCAGGCGGATCTCTGTGAGTTCGAGGCCGGGCTGGACCGATAGCCTCCGAAACAATACAGAGAAACCCTGTCTCGTAAAAAAACAAAAAAAAATACATTTCCTCTTTAATTATGATTGTTAAGCATACACACGCATCTCTCTCTCTCTATCTCTGTCTCTCTCTCTCTCTCTCTCTCTCTCTCACACACACACACAGCTGAGTCCATTTAGTGTGGCTTGTATGTACATATGTTGAGGGCTGACCACTTGGGGTGACCATTAGGGAGCTCATTCCTGAAGAAAATTGATTCTCTCTCTCCGCAGCAATTAGTTACCTGTAGCTCTTCATCTTAGGCCTGGGGTCTGTGAAATTTCTCCTGTCCATGCTGGTGTGTTTCCTGGTGTTGTAATTATGTAGGGCTTGGTTAGGCAGCCATATTGTTGAAATTTCATGGTTGCAGCTTCCCTGCCATGTCTAGAAAGCACTATATAGCAGCAGCTAGAGGGGGAAGTGGTGTTTATGTTCTTACTATTGAGTAGTAAGAGTTCTGTATTAGCCAAGGTTCTCTAAAAGAACAGAATGGGTAAAATGAATTTGAATTAAAGAGGGTTATTTATTCGAGTGGCTTAGAGGCTGTGGCCCAGCTAGTCCAATAATGGCTGTCTCCTGAAGGAACGTCCAAAGAATCCAATAGTTGTTCTGTCCATGAGGCTGGGTGTCTCAGCTGGTCTTTGGTCTTCTTTGGAATCCTGAAGAAGTAGGTTCTATCACCACTGAAGGAATGCCTCAGCAGCAGGATAGATGAACTTCAGCAAGAATGAAGACAAGCAGGCAAAAAGCCAAAGCTTCCTTCTTCTGTGTCCTTTTGTATGGACTGTCACTTGAAGGTGTGACCCAGATTTCAGGTGAGCCTTCAGACCTCAAATGACCCAGTTGAGAACATCTCTCATAGAGTTGGTTCAGTGGGTGGAAGTGCCCACGTAACATTTTTAATATCAAAGAAAGATAGGTGTGCCTAGATGCTTGGGTTTCAGTTGATTCCAGATGTAGTCAAGTCAACTGAGATTAGTTCTTTATCTGTTTCTTGCTTTTTGGAGACAGGGTCTTGTTATACAGCTTAGGCTAGTCTAGACCTCAGTAATCCCCCTTCCATCAGCCAACTAAGTACTAGGACTTCTAAAAGTTGTTGAAGGGAGAAAGATTTCTTGAGTTGAGTGACACTGTTAGTAACCATTCATGCACAGCTGGAGTTCTCTATTGTCATTATCATATCCAGTGTATATGTCACATTGAGTATGTGTTCTATGTTGAGTACATATACCACATGTTGAGTATACAAGTCACATATCAGGTACACATATCACACCAAGGACAAATACCTCATATCAAGTACACATCTTTCATTTTAACTTAAAAAAAAAAAGGTGTGACAACAAAAGAGAAATGACAATCAGGAAGCTGCTTAATCAGGAAGGTGACAGACCACAGAGCCTATGGTTTTAACACAACCGGAATTCACTTCCTAAATGTGATGCCATGAAAACGGAAACACTTTATATCTTTCTATTTAAAAGTTATGTCTGACAATTTGAACTTTTTTGTAAACTGGAGTTTCAGTTTGAATCCTTACTAAAATGTGAAGTTAGACTTGTTCCGTCACAGAGGCCCTTTCTTGAAGGATTCGGTAAGCCTGGATTTTCACATCGCTGAGAACACCCATATCACAGCCTTACGTGCTGATGGTGTTGCAGGGGCTTAGCTTGGAGGAGAAGCAAACGTGTCTCACACTGCCCACTGCAACAGTGTGTTGCTTTATTCCCCTGCCTCATGCTGGCTCTGAAGAGTCTTCTAGCAGGCCAAAATGAACTCCGGCTTCTTTTCACGATGCCCATGTCATGAGAACAAGGGTTTGGTTTGTTTGTTTTTTTATCCACAGAGAGGTTTGAAATACAAAATTTTTTTTTAGACCTTGACTGGGAACTTTGTATTTAGAAGAGGGATGGATACAGGTGTTACTTATTCATGGCTGGACTTACTTGGGAATATTTGGGACTCCATGATGAATGTGATCTTCTTACTTGACCTCACAGCCATGTTTAGCTAAGCTGTCTCCGAATTAGGTCGTTAGACAAGGATGAGTGTGTGGATTGCCACAGCTGGAGGAAGTATTGTCTGCAGGTGTTTAGGAAAACCTCAGAGCTCTGAAGATTACCTCTGTTCAGAAAACCTCAAATTGTGGTGAGGTTTGTAATCTCCCCGTTTGTGATGTGGTATAACACAGTGGTGAGACTGTAATCCCGAGAATGACGAGTTCTCAGGTTCCCTGTGCAAGCCTGCCCCCTATCATTTGGCAGAATGGATGGCACTTGCTTGCATTTCTTACCACACACCTATATCTAACATCAAAGAGCAAGGCACACAGTCTTCAGTGCCAGAGAGGACATTCAAGTTACCAGGTTCTGAAGACAGGCACCTGGGCAATGTCCTTGTTTGTTTGTTTTTGAATTGTTTTCTGCTTTTGTTTGTTTGTTTTTTTGAGACAGAGTCCCACTCAAAGCCCAGGCTAGCCTTGAACTCAGGATCCCCGTCTCAGTCCCCCAATACAGGGATTACTGCCACAGGCCATTGCCTTGTATCTAGACCTTTGTTTTCTTTACTCCAGTCAAATAATAGCAGCCTCAACATGATCCTTCATATAGAATTAAATTTTGCTAAATTAAATTTTTAGGATTAATTTTTAAATTTTGTATGATTTATTTCTTTTATAAAAAACAGGGAATGTTCATTACTTTGCTTTGAAATGAGAAAAATTCAGCTTTCTTGAGCATTTATTTTTCAAATAGACAATATGAAAGAAATTAGTTGCTAATCTAGTAAAATAAATTATATGTAAGAGTATGCGGGCAAATTGTTTACGTCCCCCCCCAGGTCAATTAATCAAAAATGTTAAGAAATGCCAGCTGAAGTTGTATAACACAATGTCTCTAAAAACAGATAGGGCTGGACCGGCAGTGTGCTCAGTAAGAACGCTCACTGCTCCTGCCCTCCCCTCCGTCCTCTCCCTTCCCCTCCTGTCTCCTCTTCTCTCCCTATCCCTTTTCACCTCTCTCACTCTCTCTCCCTCCCTCTTCCTCCTCTTTTCTTCTTTCCTGAGTGCAGAGCCCCACTCTGTAGTCCACGATGGCCTGGAATTCTGTAAGCAGCCCAGACTGGCTTTGAGTTCAGGGTAATCTTCCTACCTTAGACTCCTGGGTGCTGGAATTAGAGGCATGAACCACCACGCCTGTGGGCCTGCTGGTCTTTTTCAGTCTCTGTCATAGTTTTGCCCCTTCCAGCCTATCACGAGGTTGGAACCACACAGGCAGCCTTTTCCACTTAGTAATATGCATTTGACTTCTTCCACTTAGTAATATGCATTTGAATGTCATTCATTAGGTCAGGAACAGTGGCAAATCCTTGTGATCCTAGTAACTCCAGAGGCTAAGGTAGGAGTGTCCTTTAGCTGAGTCTAAAATGAGCCTGAGATCATAGCAAGACCCCACCTCAAGGAAGGCATTGTCCTCCATGGCTTTTCATGGCTTCCTAGCTCAGTTTCCAAGGTTTTTGTCATCATCAGCAAAGCTACTGTCCCACTTTGGTTTCTCTGGCTGGGGTGGAATGCCCTGACAAAAAAGCAGCATAGAGAAGAAAGGGTTAATCCTGGCTCATAGCTCGTTATCACTTTTTTAATTTATTTTTTATTTTTAAATTTAAATTAGAAACAAGGTTGCTTCACATGTGAATCCCAGGTCTCTCTCTCTTTCCCTTCCCTCCTCCCACGCCCTCCCTCCAACCCCACCCCCCAATACCCCCTCATTTCCCCAGGGAGGGTGAGGCCCTCCATGGGGGTGTCCATTTGTATACCAGGGATAAATACTGATCTACTACCCAAAGCCCCATCCATATATTGCCTAGGCCTACTCACTGATACCCACATTCAGGGGGTCTTGATCAGTCCCATGCTGGATTCCCAGCCATCAGTCTGGGATTCAAGAGCTCCCCCTTGTTCAGGTCAGCTGTTTCTGGGGGTTAAACCAGCCCAGTCTTAACCCCTTTGCTCCTCAGTCCTCCCTCTCTCCACCACTGGGTTCCTTGAGTTCAGCTCAATGTTTAGTTGTGGGAG